TTTTTCATATGTTTGTTGGCCATTTGTATATCTTCTTTTGAGAATTGTCTATTCATATCCTTAGCCCACTTTTTGATGGGATTGTTTGTTTTTTCTTGCTAATTTGTTATAATTCTTTGTAGATTCTGGATATTAGTCCTTTGTTAGATGTATAGATTGTGAAGATTTTCTCCCACTATGTGAGTTATCTGATTACTCTGCTGACTGTTCCCTTTGCTGTGCCAAAGCTCTTTAGTTTAATTAAGTCCCACCTGTTTACCTTTGTTTTTATTCCATTTGCTTTTGGGTTCTTGGTCATGAAATCCTTGTTTAAGCCAATGTCTAGATGGGGTTTTCCAATGTTATCTTCTAGAATTTTTATAGTTTCAGGTCTTAGATTTAAGTCCACGATCCATCTTGAGTTGGTTTTTGTATAAGGTGAGAGATGAGAATCCAGTTTCATTCTCCTACATGTGGCTTGCCAATTGTCTCAGCACCGTTTGTTGAATGGGGTGTCTTTTCCTCACTTTATGTTTTTGTTTGCTTTGTCTACAATCACTTGGCTGTAAATATATGGGTTTATTTCTGGGTTCTCTCTTCTGTTCCATTGGTCTATGTGTCTATTTTTATACCAGTACCATGGCTGTCTCTTATACACATCTAGATGTGTATAAGAGACAGCACACATACACACACACACACATACACACACACACACATACACACACACACACACACACAGAGAGAGAGAGAGAGAAAGGGAATGAGGCAGTTGCTGCCCCTGCCCTCATTTTGGGCACAGGCAAAGTACTTACAGAGCGAAGGCACTGAGTGGGGGCGCGGGTCTTCAGCAGTGCATCACCTCTACCCACAGGAAAATGGTGTTTGAAGATCGCAGCAACCTGGTCAATATTTGTCAGGTCAGTTCTGGGAACTGGTATGAAGATAATGCACAGCAAACAGGAAGGGTTCTTTTTTTTTCCAAAATATCTGCCCTGACTGCCTGTCCCACAAACAAATGGTGGATTGTGACTTAAGCCCAGGCTCAATTTGAGAATATTCTGATGCCGGCAGCAGGCGGTGGTGTGGTTGCGGCGGGTGCCTGTGTCCGTGGTTGTGTGATCCAGGCTCTATTCTTTTTTTCCTAACTTTTTTATTTCCATAGGTTTTGGGGGGACAGGTGGTATTTGGTTACGTGAGTAAGTTCTTTAGTGGTGATTTGTGAGATTTTGACGCACCCATCACCCAAGCAATACACACTGAACCCAATATGTAGTCTTTTATCCCTTACCCCCTTCCCACCCCTTTCTCCTGAGTCCCTGAAGTCCATTGTATCATTCTTGTGTCTTCTGATCCTCGTAGCTTAGCTCCACTTACGAGTGAGAACATACGATGTTTGGTTTTCCATTCCTGAGTTACTTCACTTAGAATAATAGTCTCAAGTTCCACCCAGGCTGCTGTGAATGCTATTAATTCATTCCTTTTTATGGCTGAGTAGTATTCCATTGTATATATACACATCACAGTTTTTTTTATCCACTCGTTGATTGATGGGTATTTGGGTTGGTTCCACAATCTTGCAATTGCAAATTGTGCTGCTATAAACGTGTGTGCAAGTATCTTTTTCATAAAATGACTTCTTTTCCTCTGGGTAGATACCCAGTACTGCGATCGCTGGATGAAATGGTAGTTCTACTTTTAGTTATTTAAGGAATCTCCACACTGTTTTCCATAGGGGTTGTTCCAGTTTACATTCCCACCAGCAGTGCAGAAATGTTCCCTTTTCACCACACCCGCGCCAACGTCTATTATTTTTTGATTATGGCCATTCTTGCAGGAGTAAGGTGATATCACATGGTGGTTTTGATTTGCATTTCCCTGATCATTAGCGATGTTGAACATTTTGATGGAATTATTTCTTTTTTTTTTCCTTGCTAATTTGAATTCTTTGTAGATTCTGGATATTAGTCCTTTGTCAGATGTATAGATTGTGAAGATTTTCTCCCACTATGTGAGTTATCTGATTACTCTGCTGACTGTTCCCTTTGCTGTGCCAAAGCTCTTTAGTTTAATTAAGTCCCACCTGTTTACCTTTGTTTTTATTCCATTTGCTTTTGGGTTCTTGGTCATGAAATCCTTGTTTAAGCCAATGTCTAGATGGGGTTTTCCAATGTTATCTTCTAGAATTTTTATAGTTTCAGGTCTTAGATTTAAGTCCACGATCCATCTTGAGTTGGTTTTTGTATAAGGTGAGAGATGAGAATCCAGTTTCATTCTCCTACATGTGGCTTGCCAATTGTCTCAGCACCGTTTGTTGAATGGGGTGTCTTTTCCTCACTTTATGTTTTTGTTTGCTTTGTCTACAATCACTTGGCTGTAAATATATGGGTTTATTTCTGGGTTCTCTCTTCTGTTCCATTGGTCTATGTGTCTATTTTTATACCAGTACCATGCTGTTTTGGTGACTATGGCCTTACAGTATAGTGTGAAGTTAGGTAATGTGAAGCCTCATTTTAGTCTGGCTTTGGCTATGCAGATTCTTTTTTGGATCCATATGAATTTTAGTAATTTTTTTCAGTTCTGTGAAGAATGATGGTGGGATTTTGATGGGAATTGGTTCTGAATTTGTAGATTGCTTTTTGTGATATGGTCATTTTCACAATATTGATTCTGCCCATCTATGAGCATGGGATGTGTTTCTATTTATTTGTGTCATCTATGAGTTTTCAGCAGTATTTTGTCATTTTCTTTGTAGAGATCTTTAACCACCTTGGTTAGGTATATTCCTAAGTAATTTATTTTTTTGCAGCTGTTGTAAAAGAGGTTGAGTTCTTCATTTGATCCCCAGCTTGGTCACTGTTGGTATATAGCAGAATTATTGATTTGTGTACATTAATTTTGTATCCTGAAACTTTGCTGAATTAATTTATCAGTTCTAGGAGAGTTTTGGAGGAGTCTTTAGGGTTTTCTAGGTAAACAATCATATCATCAACAAACAGTGACAGTTTGACTTCCTCTTTACTGATTTGGATACCCTTTATTTCTTTCTCTTGTCTGATGGCTCCTTTGAGGACTCCTAGTACTATATTGAATAGAGGTGGTGAGTGTGGGCGTCCTTGTCTTGTTCCAGTTCTCAGAGGGAATGCTTTCAACTTTTACCCATTCAGTATTATGTTAGCTATGGGTTTGTCATAGATGGTTTTTATTACATTAAGGTGTGTCCCTTATATGCCGATTTTGCTGAGGGTGTTAATCATAAAGCGATGCTGGATTTTGTCAAATGCTTTTTCTGCATCTATTGAGATGATCATGTGATTTTTGTTTTGAATTCTGTTTATGTGGTGTATTACATTTATTGACAACCATCCCTGCATCCCTGGTGTGAAGCCCACTTGATCATGGTGGATTATTTTTTTAATATGTTGTTGGATTCAGTCAGCTGGCATTTTGTTAAGGATTTTTGCATCTATATTCACCAGGGATATTGGTCTGTAGTTTTGTTGTTGTTGTTGTTGTTATATCCTTTCCTGGTTTTGGTATTAGGGTGATACTGGCTTAATAGAATGATTTAGTGAGGATTACCTCTTTCTCTATCTTGTTGAATAGTGTCAATAGGATTTTTATCAATTCTTCTTTAAATGTCTGGTAGAATTCAGCTGTGAATCCATCTGGTTCTGGACGTTTTTTTGTTGGTAATTTTTAAAATTACCATTTCAATCTCACTGCTTGTTATTAGTCTGTTCAGGGTATCTAATCCTTCCTGATTTAAGCTAGGATTGGATCTTTTCAGGAATTTATCCATCGCCTCCAGGTTTTCTAGTTTATGCACATAAAGGTGTTAATAGTAGCCTTGAATGATCTTTTGTATTTCTGTGGTGTCAGTTGTAATATCTTTCATTTCATTTCTAATTGAGCTTATTTGGATTTTCTCTTTTCTTGGTTAATCTTGCTAATGGTCTATTATTTTTATTTATTTTTCTAAGAACCAGCTTTTTTGTTTCATTTATCTTTTGTATGTTGTTGTTGTTGTTTCAATTTCATTCAGTTCTTCTCCGATCTTGGTTATTTCCTTTTTTTCTGCTGGGTTTTGGCTTGGTTTGTGACCTTAGATTATTTATGCTCTTTCAGACTTTTTGATGTAGGCATTTAGGGCTGTGAACTTTTATCTTAGCACTGCCTTTGCTGTATCCCAGAGGTTTTGATAGGGTGTGTTAGTGTTATAGTTCAGTTCAAAGAACATTTAAATTTCCATCTTGATTTCATTGTTGATCCAGTGATCCTTCAGGAGCAGGTCATTTCATTTTCATGTATTTGCATGATTTTGAAGGTTCCTTTTAGAGTTGATTTCCAGTTTTACTCCACTGTCGTTTGAGAGAGTACTTGATATAATTTCAATTTTCTTAAATGTATTCAGACTTGTTTTGTGGTCTATCATATGGTTTATCTTGGAGAATATTCCATGTGCTGATGAATAGAATGTATATTCTGTGGTTATGGGGTAGAATGTTCTGTAAATATCTGTTAAGTCCATTTGTTCCAGGATATATTTTAAATCCTTTGTTTCTTGGTTGACTTTCTGTCTTGATGACCTGTGTAGTGCTGTCAGTGGAATATTGAAGTCCCTCATTATTATTGTGTTGCTGTCTACCTCATTTCTGAGATCTAGTAGTAATTGTTTTATAAATTTGGGAGCTCCAGTGTTGGATGTACATATATTTAGGACTGTAACATTTTCCTGTTGGACAAGGCCTTTTATCATTATATAATGTCCCTCTTTATCTTTTTTAACTGCTGTTGCTTTAAAGTTTGTTTTGTCTAGTATAAGTATAGCCACTTCTGTTTGCTTTTAGTGTCTATTTGTATAGAATGTCTGTTTCCATCCCTTTACCTTACATTTATGTGAGTCCTTGTGTGTTAGGTGAGTCTCTTGAAGGCAGCAGATACTTGGTTGGTGAATTCTTATCCATTTTGCTATTCCATATCTTTTAAGTGGAGCATTTAGGCCATTTCCATTCACCATTAGTATTGACATGTGAGATAGTATTGCATTCATCGTGCTATTTGTTGCCTGTATACCTTGTTGTTTTTTTTTTTTTTTTTGGTATGGGTCCTGTGGGATTTATGCTTTAAAGAGTGTCTGTTTTTATGTGTTTCCAGAATTTGTTTCAAGATTTGGAGCTCCTTTTAGCAGTTCATGTAGTGCTGGATTGGTAGTGGTGAATTCTCTCAGCATTTGTTTGTCTGAAAAAGACTATCTTTCCTTCATTTATGAAGCTTAGTTTTGCTAGATACAAAATTCTTGGCTGATAATTGTTTTGTTTAAGAAGGTTGAAGACAGAGCCCCAATCCCTTCTAGTCTGTAGGGTTTCTGCTGAGAAATCTGCTGTTAATCTGATAGGTTTTCCTGTATACGTTACCTGGTGCTTTTGCTTCACAGCTCTTAAGATTTTTTCCTTCATCTTGGCTTTAGATAGCCTGATGGCAATGTGTCTAGGTGATGATGATCTTTTTGTGATGAATTTCCTGGGTGTTCTCTGAGCATCTTGTATTTGGATGTCTAGGTCGCTAGCAAGGCCAGGGAAGTTTTCCACAATTATTCCCCCAAATATGTTTTCCAAACTTTTAGATTTCTCTTCTTCCTCAGGAATGCCAATTATTCTGAGGTTTTGTCACTTAACATAATCTCAAACTTCTTGGAGGCTTTGTTTATTTTTTCTTATTCTTTTTTCTTTGTCTTTGTTGGATTGGGTTCATTAGAAAACTGTCTTTGAGCTCTGAAGTTCTTTCTTCTGCTTCTTTGATTCTATTCCTGAAACTTTCCAGAACATTTTGCTTTTCTCTCAGTGCTCTCCTTTATTTCCTAAAGGGTTGATTGTTTTTTATTTATGCTATTCCTTTACTGAAGATTTCTCCCCTCATTTCTTATGTATTTTTTAGATTTCCTTAAATTGGACTTTATCTTTCTCTGGTGGCTCCTTGATTAGCTTAATAGCTGACCTTCTGCATTTTTTTTTCAGGTAAATCAGGGATGTTTTTGTTTGGTGGTGAGCTAGTGTGATTTTTCTGAAGGTGTTAACAGCCTTTTTTGGCATGTTACCAGCATTGTTTTTCTGGTTCCTTCTCATTTGGATAGTCTATGTCAGAGGGAAGATCTGGGGCTCAAGGCTGCTGTTCAGATTCTTTTGTCCCATGGAGTGCTCCCTTGATGTAGTACTCTCCCCCTTTTCCTAGGGATGTGGTTTCCTGAGAGCCAAGCTGTGGTGATTGTTATCAGGATCTAGTCACCCAGCCGGTCTACCAGGCTCTGGGCTGGTACTGGGGATTTTCTGCATAGAGTCCTGTGATGTGAGCCATCTGCAAGTCTCTCAGCCATGGATACCAGCACCTGCTCTGGTGGAGATGGCAGAGGGGTGAAATTGATTCTGTGAGGATCCTTAGTTTTTGTTGTTTAATGCGCTATTTTTGTGCTGGTTGGCCTCCTGCCAGAAGGTGACACTTTTGAGAGAGCATCAGCCTGGAGAACCAGGCTGTGGGTAGACCCTAGAACTCCCAAGAGTATATGCCGTTTGTCTTCAGCTACCAGAGCGGGTAGGGAAGGACCATCAGATGAGGAGGGCAGGGCTGTGTGTGTCTGAGCTCAAACGCTCCTTGGTAGGGCTTGCTGTAGCTGCTGTGGGGAATGGGGTGTGGTTCCCAGATCAATGGAGTTGTTCCCAGGAGAATTATGACTGCCTCTACTGTGTCATGCAGGTTGTTAGGGAAGTGGGGGAAAGCCGGCAGTTACAGGCCTCACCCAGCTCCCACACAACCCAAAAGACCAGTCTCACTCCCACCATGTCCCCTCAAACAGCACCAAGTTCATTTACAGGCAGTGGGCAGGAAGTGCTGAGAACTTGCCCTGGGCTACCAGCCTCCCACCTGTGAGAACAAGTAGGGCTTTCACACCTCTCGGCCTGTGGAGTCTGCACACCAGATTTACACCCTCCCTTGAGTTCTGGCCAGGAGACTTCCTGTTCAGTTGGAATTGTTACAAAGTTCAGCTGGGGGTTTCCTTCTCCCTGTGGTCTTTTCCCAGTATCTCTGACAGCCCTCCCCAAGAACACCCATGAGACAAGTCTGAAATAGTTTTCCAAGGGTGGAAAACCCACAGGGCTTTACATGCTGCTTCCTCTACCCCTATATTTTGCTTGGCTCTCTAAATTGACTCAGCTTCAGGTAAGGTAAGATCCTTCTCCCGTGATCTAGACCTGCAGGTGCCCCAGTGAGGGTGTGTGTTCAGTGGCAGACAATCCCCCTTTCCCACTTTCACAGCTTGGACACTCACAATATTTGGACTGTCTTTTGGGTCCTACAGAAGCAACCTGCTTCCTTCAGAGGGTCTGTGGGTTCTCTTGGCTTTCCTGGTTTATTCCCGCATTAGTTCTGGAACAAAGGTTCAAGATACCAGTCTTGAACCTTTGAATTTTTTTTCAAAGGTCCACACAGTGCTCTGTCCAAGTGGGAGATGCAACCTAGTCTTGCCTTCTCTCTGCCATTTTTCCCCCTCTTTTTTTTTTCTTTTAGGCTATGTTCTTTATTGGTCACCCTCACCGCAAGAATGTGAGAGAGGCACAGTCATCCGTACTTTGTAGATGGGAAACTGAGGCTCTGTGAGGTTAAGTCACTTGCTTACTAAGTGGACAGATGGGGCCACACACAGAAGTTGGATCCCATCCCCAAGTCCATGCCTTCACCACCACACCAAACCATTCCAGTATTTTGTTGATACTGCAAATAAAATATAATCTGTATATGAATAAAAAGATTGGAAGGGGCTGGGTGGGTGGCTCATGCCTGTAATCCCAGCACTTTGGGAGGCCAAGGCAGGTGGATCACTTGAGGCCAGGAGTTCGAGACCAGCCTGGATAACATGTTGAAACCCCGTCTCTACTAAAAATACAAAAATTAGTCAGACAGCGTGGCGGGTGCCTGTAATTTCAGCTGCTTGGGATGCTGAGGCTGGATAATCCCTTGAACCTGGGAAGCAGAAGAGGTTGCAGTGAAACGAGATTGTGCCACTGCACTCCAGCTTGGGTGACAGGGAAAAAAAAATTGGAAGGAAATTTCACAAACAGAGAAAAATCTTTCTTCCTGTTACTTGAAGAAACCTGTGAAGCAGAAACATTGGCTCATGATCACCCATGACTCCCAAGTAAGAAGAGCAAGCTTAGAATTAAATGAGTATTTATTTATGAGAGAATCTCTTTATGATAAAATCGAGGTGACTTTTAAGTTCTTCTTTGTAGATTTTCATATTCTCCAAATTTCCTACAAAGAGCATGCATCTTATTCATAATTAAAAACAATAAAACATTATTGTTGAAAAGTAGAATTATTTAATAGTACAAGTAAAGCTCATCCTAAAATAAGTCATTGAGGTTGGCACAGTGACTCCAATCAAGGCACTTGTAAAACATAAAGTCTCCCAGGAGGTTGAACCTGATTCTCTAAATGGGGTGGAGGTGCGGGTGCCCATGGGTCTGCATTTGCCACTCCTACCTTGAGTGAAACTTTCATAAGATGCTGTAATACTCATGCTTGATATTCTGTGACTGATGATTTTGTATCTTGAAATGATGGCCTAAACTAATGGCCACAGTTGATTATGTTCATGCCCTCTCTGTGTTTTCATGAGCATGTAAGAATCATTTTACAAATCCTCCAACCACAAGCCCCAACCTCTATACTTCACTTCCTGCCCAATAGGGACGTCCCACCTAACCACTCCCCACACTTCAGTACTAAAGTCTCTGGCCAAGTGTTCCTCTCACTCTTGTGCCTCTGGACTAGCCCCAGTGCTTCCCCGTGTGGCCCTGTGTGGTGGGGCAGGACCCCTCCTCTTGGGTGCTCAAAGTAATAAACTCTTCTTTCAAAGGCAGGTGTCTCTGTCTGTCACCTTACCATACACAATGGAAATGATTTCAAAACAAAATGTGAGGTACATTTAAAAACAAATGCAAAGGATTGGCATTTCAAAAAACAGAGCTGGGACCTCAACAAGTTGACAGAAAATGCCCCATGGCTGTTCTTATATCTGCTTGCCAATGCAAGTCTGAGTGGGCACCAGGATGCCACCTAAGCTTGCTTTCACTGTAAAGTGCCACCGGAAGCAAGGCTGTGGGAAGGATAGTTACAGCTGTCACCCACTGCTGACTACTTGGGGTTCCCTATAGTTTCTAGAAAGAACTAGTTGTGAACAACAGGTATTGTTAGTCACTTCTTCACACCTACTATCTCCTTTGTGCCACTGTGGGACATCTTCTTGCCTACGCTGCAGGAGGCTGGAGCCATGTCTGAGCAGGTATGCTCCTTCCTGGGAAGGATGCCTGGCTTCTCCACTGTGACCTTTACAATGGAGAGCCTGAGGGAAGAGCACTGTGTATAAAATAAAGTTTGCTCCAGGGGCTGTTGCGGGAGCTCTTCATAACTGGCCAATAGTCCTTGCTCTAAGTCAGCACAGGAGGGCCCTATGGCCTAGGTTAGCTGTTTTTACTCTTTAAGTCTCAGCTATTTTGTTTTTGTTTTTTGTTTGTGTGTTTTTGTTGTTTTGAGACAGGGCCTTGCTGTGTTGCCCAGGCTGGAGTGCAGTGGCAGCTTGTTCTGTTTGTGAAATAAAGTGGGAGCGTGAGGACTGGGGGTTAGGTTCCCCTGGGACTTCCGCCAGCTCTCCAGCGTAACTCCTTTCTGTTTTATTTCTTTCCTTGTAAAACAGCATGAGAAAGCCAACATGAGGCCCTTGGCACATCCAAGGTGGGTGGGGCACAGGGGTCCCCAGAAGAGGAGCCTTTGGATCTGACTGGAGCAAGGGCTCCGTGGAGGCCGCCAGAGATGCCGTTGGTAATGAGGGTGATGCAGAGGTGCCAGCACAGCCTGTCAGGCAATGAGGGAGGGAGGGATGGTGAGTCTGACTCAAAGGACATGAGCTGCCTTTGCTGTGGTGCCACCGTGGCCCATTGCTCGTTGTGCTGCTCTCAGGACTCAGAGTATGGGAGCAGGACCTTTGCCGCTACAGACCCGCAGGGAAGGGGCTGAGCACCCAAAGGCTGCATGTGCATACACGACATCATCAGAGTCAGGGAGACAGCCAGGCTTGAGGAAGTGGAAAACTGTTCCACGGCACCCAGGAAGACCTTCACAGCCCATGCATTAGCCCTCGTCACCCCGTGTCCTGGTGCTCCCCACAAACGCAGGCTCTCTCCTTGGCCAACAACGGCCTCCACCAGCTGACCTCCTTGAGCCTCCGTGTCTTCATTTCTTCCATCTGCCCCACATGATGCTACAAGGTCCTTGCTCTGTCCCTCCAACATGCCGCTCATTCCTGACTCACAGCCTTTATGCTCACACCCCTCTCTTGTCCTCCCCTCACTCTCAGTCATCCTAATTCAATGCCTTCATGGCACTTATAAGCAGTTATGACCATGTTTATAGGTTTGGTTTCGTTGTTGCTGTAGGGGGTCTGTCTCCCCCATTTAGGCCTAACATGCCAGGAATCTTCTCTGATTTACTCCTAGCGTATATTAAGTGTGCAGTAAGTTTTTGCTGAATAAATGAAGGAAAAAAAAAACATACAGCCTCTGAGATGTCATGGGACGGCAGCCCAGCCACTGCGAGTTCGCCAGTAAATCATTTTCAGATTAGGACCCGGTTGACAGCTGAATTCGTATTTTAGTTTTATTGAATGTGTTATTGTAATTCGCAATAAAGGTGCCTGACCTGCGTTGGCATATTTCCATTCCCAGGAGCCCCAAGGAATGGAAATATGGTAACCCAGCAACATCCCATGAAGCTAGTTACCTGGGAGACTTTGTGGAAAAGGGCACTGACTGGGGTTAACGGGCATTGGCTTGTGACTGGGGTCTCTGTTGATGGTTTGGTGATTGAGCCTTGGAAGTGGCATCCCTGCCAGTGAATGCAGCTCCACTGGGGTCAAGTGCATCCTCAGAACAGAAAGAGGGATGTGGTTTGTTATTTCTTGTGCATTAGCAAAGTGCCATCAGTCAACAGGCCATTTCCCACCTAGGATTTAGCGGGATTTTCCACTTTCCCTAGAAAGAGAATACTGTCTGTGGCTTTATTTGTAATCATTATCAAGAAGGTCCTATTGAAGGAGACAGTGAAGTAAGAGGGACCATCCTTCGATCGGACTATGAACTTGGTGGTAGTAGCTGCTGCGGCCTCAGTGCCCTCTTCACTGACATCCAGCACAGCCTTGTGGGTTGCCTGCCAAGGGAAAAACAAACATCAGTGGCCCCAGTAGAGACACTTTTAGTTAACTGAGTAAACTAAACTGAGTGTTTTGCCCTGGAATGGTGATGTCTACCTTGAAAGGATTCAAGGTTCAAATGCCTGGCATTGGGTTTGCTCAGTACATTGCAGTGGGTGTTGACTATGGTCCATTGGTCCTTACACCGGGAGTGAGATGGTTACAAACACAGAGCAGGAAGATAGGAGTGAATCTCAGTTCTGCCACTTATGGTTGCAAAACTATTTAGATGCCACGTGCTTCAGTTTCCCGATCTATAAAAGGTAATAATAATTGCATGTGTGCCGTAAGGTTATTGTGTAAATTAAGGGAGATCATACAAAGCAAATGCTTGTGGACTTGCCAGCAGTGGTGATTGCTGCAGTTCTCGCGTGGCAGACATGGGTTTGATATGACTACGGTTAGATCCCTTCTTTGTCTTCTAGGGAAGACATTCTTCACCTGGAGCTCCTGGATTTCTAAGCTTCAGGGAGACTTGAGCTCCTGTGACTACAGGCATTGTTTTTCATAGGCTCACAGATGCATTTTCCTCGAGAAAAGGTCCATTATGCTCATCATATTCCAGTGGGGCCTCTCAGCATTTTCTGTAGACCAGTGACAAAGGTCCCCTTCAGTGGCCCCAGGATCACTTCTGACTATTATAAGCCATTATCAAAATAAAATTTTAGGTCAGGGATCAGTAACCCATATGTGTGCAGGGGTTAGGTAGGTAACCCCAATTAACTGAGGGAGACTTCTTGTAAGAGCATGGGGTGCCCACATTTCCTGGAGGGTCCTGTCTGACTAAAAGGGTCACTTACAACTCAACTCCAGTGATGGCTGCCATGTGGACACATAGACTCACTGTTGCCATGTGGGAATTAGGGTCAGTGATTTGTTTCAAGAGGATCAGAAATCTAGACTTTTAGATCCAATACACTACATTTTAAAACTCCTCTCTCTCTCTCTGTCTCTCTCTCTCTGTCTCTGTCTCTCTCTCTCTCCTTTCTCTCTCTGTCTCTCTCTCTCTTCTGTCTCTCTCTCTCTTCTGTCTCTCTCTCTCTCTCTGTCTCTCTCTCTCCCCCCCTCTCTCTGTCTCTCTCTGTCTCCTCTCTCTCTCCGTCTCTGTCTCTGTCTCTCTCTCTCTGCCTGTCTCTCTCTCTCTGTCTTTCTCTCTCTCTCTCTCCTTACACACTGAAGGCCACACAACACACCTGCAGGGTGTAAATGGCCTATGGGCAGCCATATTGTGATGCCTGTGTGAGGGCCTAAACTCCAGGGAGGAAGAAGGTGAGGTCAGATCCCAGGGGAGCACCTGCTCGCCTGCAGCAGGCATAGGGGAGCAGCTGCCTGCTGAGGACGCCTTCGGAACGTTTGAGTGAAGAGGGATAACACATGCTGTGTGCCGGAGGGATGGTGGCCATAGGTCCCAAGATTCGGTTCTTCTGGCCTCAGAAGAACCTCATTTCACCTTTCAGGCCTCTGTTTCCTTATCAATGACATAAGAGCACTTGATTAATTCTGCAGGTGCTTCCTGCTTGGACTTTTTTGCAAATATTCTCATTCAACTCACTTTAGAAAGCTGCAGGGAGTCTCTCTTTGTAATTCCAGAAAAATCAGCGTTTTCGTCAAAGACATTTTGGATGCCCATCTTTGGGAGGATGGTTTCCAGATTGTAGGAGGCAGAAATGGAAAATTTGGGGATGAACACCTCTATCCACCTGTGCAGTAGGGAAAAGGAAACAATGAGGTAACAAGCCCATGATGTCTGCATCTCTGCTCCTAGATGCCATTTTGGGAGACTCCATTCTTCCTCCAGCCATTGCTACTTGCTGCTAAAAATGTCAACACATCCTAGCCAAGAACCCCAGGTTGCTCTTGAAGTAAGTCTCCCAACTGAGCAGGTCCAGCACTAAAAACATGCAAGGAGACAGACGGGCCCCCAGTGAAGTGGGTGCAGAGGTGAGAAGGTGGTTGGCAAGGGAGTCTATGGCAGAAACCAACATGAGACGTCAAGTAGCAATGGAAGCTCATCAACCACTCACTCACTGTCCAGAGTACCTCCTCACCAACACTTCCTGATGCAGGCCCTGCTAATGCCCTAGAGCAGCAAAGTCCAGCAGAACTGCCTGTGATACTGGGAAGATCCTCGACCTGTGCTCTCCAGTATGGTAGCCACTAGCCATATGTGGCTATTGAGCAACTTGAACAGTGGCTTGTGCAAATGAGAAACTAAAATTTTAATTTTACTGAATTTCAGATAATTTAAGTGTAAATAACTGCAGGTGGCTTAGTGGCTACTATATTGAACAGCACCACCTGATAATTTAGCACAATATTTTTTTCCCTCTGAACCAAGAGAAAACAGCCTGCATGTACTGAACTTTTTTTTTTTAGATGGAGTCTCACTCTGTCGCTCAGGCTGGAGTGCAATGGCATGGTCTTGGTTCACTACAACCTCCACCTCCCGGGTTCAAGCTTTTCTCCTGCCTCAGCCTCCCAAATAGCTGGGATTACAAGTACACATGGCCACGTCTGGCTAATTTTTTTGTATTTTAGTTGAGACAGGGTTTCACCGTGTTGCCCAGGCTGGTCTTGAACTCCTGAGCTCAGGCAATTCACCTGCCTCAGACTCCCAAAGTGCTAGGATTATGGCGTGAGTCCAGCCTGAACGTTTATTATATGCCAGACATTGTCCCAGGCACATTCAACAACACTGTCCCCATTTTAAAGATGGTAAAGCTTAGTTTTAGTGCTTTGCCCAAGGTTATGTACTTAATGACTCGCAGCAAGGAAAGCACAAAAATATTGGGTGGACACATTTCAGTCCTCATCTGACAGGTGTCTTGTGACCCCTCATGCCAGGGACACCTCTCTCTTCCCTGCCACTATCCCCTTTCCCTGTTTTCTCTGTGCTCCATCTGCTGCTCTGTGCTGCATGCCTGCCTCCCTGAGCTTCTGTGCCACCTCCTCATCTTATCCCCAGTCCCAGATGCAGCCTGAGAAGAGAAGAAGTCGCTGACACACCCTGCAGCATCTCTTCATCCTTGACTTTGAGTTCTTGCCAGTGCGTCGTCTACCAAAGCTGGCCTTCCCAAGCCTCTGTGTGCTCGTATGCTACCCGTATGTGCAGCTAAACCCCACCGCCTCCTTGAAGCTGTCCCTCAGTCCCAGCTGAAAGTGACCTCTCTCTGCTCAGAAGCTCCTCAGCACCTTTCCTGCCCTCCTCTGGGGCATTGCCCAATCTCTTTCTTGAATTCCAGTTACACTGCAGCCTTCCTTCTCTCTTCCCAGACTATGAGCACCAGGGAATGCTGCTGAAATTATTCTACGATGCCAACCATATATTGCTAAGAGACAGAACATAAAACTTTGACATTCCTTTTTTATCTCATGATTAATCTTTTTAATATTCTCCATATTTTTATACTCACCATAATAATTATAGGACTAATAATAACATTATTAGCTAACATTTACTGAACACTTACTATCTTCTAGGAATTCTCCTAAGCACTTTGTAAATAGTAGGTTACTTTATCTTTTCGCCAACCTTTGGATTTGGTAATATTGTTATCCTCTTTCTTATATGTGATCACCAATGCTTTTGTTTGCTTGCTTTTATGGGATCGTTCCATGGATTTCAATATCAGATTGGCTTCTAGAGCCAACTCTGCTAGCATGTAACAGCTACATGACCTTGGACAATTCACTTACCACCTTGGAGCCTCCATTTCCTCATCTGTGAAATGAGTGGTATTAAGACTCCTCATCAGGTGATAGTGAACTTCAAGTGTGAACATGTATAGACAGCCCCAGGCTCTCTGTCCTGCATACAGTTGGTGCTCGTTGTTCAGAAGTGATTATCCAACAGCTGTTAGCACAATCTCTCCCCCATCTTTGAATGTGTGCGTCCCCTGCCTCAGGGCCCAGGAGATTGACACAGATACCCACCTTTTCTGGAGTGAGTGGCTCCACTTTCTCAGTGTTCTGGCTGACAAGGCCTGTTCCAGTTGCCTCATCTTGCCCTTGCTAGGGAGGACAAAGAAGGCCACGGCATCTCCCTTGTAGTCCATCTGGAGCACAAAGCAGTTCAGCTCTGTATCCATCCCAAAAGCAAACTGCTCCTTCTGGTGCATCATGGGGACACGCACAGTGACCTGCTTGCTCACCAGAAATGGGAAGTTCTTTCTTGTATATGCGGGGTAAAAGGGCTTGTCCCACTTGGCTAGCACAAAGAGAGAAATGAGGTCTTTATGTCAAAGTGCAATTAGTGAGGCAAAGACAGCAAAATGAAATAGGGAATTACTGCTAATGGGTATGAGGTTTCTTTCTGAGGTGACAAAAAAATGCTCTGGAATTACACAGCGGAGTAGTTGCCCAAACTTGTGAATATACTGAAAATCAATAAAATGGTGAATTGTATTTCAATTAAAAATAGAATTAAGTTAAATAGAACAACATAAAGTGAAGGTAACTTAGTAAGGGCTCAAAGCATACCAGTTTTCTTTCCTTCTCTTTCCTCTTTGCAGGATGGATGGATAAATGGGTGGATAGCTTGGCAGATGAAGGGTGGATGGATAGATGAATAGCTAATGGATAGATGGTTGGATGGCTGGGTGGATAGATGGATGAATGGATGGATGGATGAACTGATGCATGGATAGATAGATGAACAGATTAACGGATGGGTGGTTGGCTAGCTAGATGGCTAGCTAGGTGGATGAATGGATGCATGGATGGATAAATGGATGGATGGATGAACTGATGGATGGATAAATGGGCGGATAGTTTGCTGGATGGGTAGATGGAGGGTGGAGGGATGAACAGGTTAATGGATACATGTTTGGCTGTCTGGGTGGATAGATGGATGCATGCATGGATTCATGGATGAATGACATATGGATAAATGGGTGGATAGTTTGGTGAATGGGTGGATATAGGGTGGGTAGATAGATGGATAGATTAATGGACAGGTGGTTGGCTAGCTAGGTGGATGGATGGATGAACTGATGGATGGACAAGTGGATGGATAGCTTTGTGAATGGGTAGATGGATAGATGAGTACGTTAATGGATAGATGTCTGGCTGGTTGGCTAGGTGCATGCCTGGATGGATGGACAGATAAACCAGTCCATGGATAAATGAGTGAACAGGTGGATGAAGGGAGGGAGGAAGGAAGGGGAGGAGAGGGACGGAGGAAGGGAGGGATGATATGGTGACATCCTTGAGAACTCTGCCTGGAGATGCCAGGCACTTCTATCTCAAGTACAACCCTATAAAGTTGGCTTTATCATCAAACTATCCAGTCAGCACAGAGACTGGCACAAGTCAGGCACTCAACACATGGTAAATCTTTTAGAGATACATGCTGAGGATCATAGAGCAAGTATGGGGCAGAGGTGAAATTCAAATCCAAGTTGTTTGATTTAAAAGCTGATGTGCATTCCCTACAACACAGTGAAAACTGTAAATCTCTAACATATATATATATATATAAAATATGATATGCAGTTATATATGAAGGAAACTTCATATATATATATGAGATATGAATGACAGTCACATCAACTTGTCTACATTTCTACACCTATGAAAGTGTTCACACTCTTGGATTTGCTTCTTAAACTGGGTTGTCAGAGAGTTCCATGTTCCTTCTTTAAAACTTTCAAGGGGCAGTAAACACACTTCGAGACACTTTATCTCTCTACCCAAAGAGAACTAAATGAGTCCCCCACTGTAACTGATAAACATGAGCTATCCCAGGTCCTGCAATCAGCTAACTGCAAAGCTAATTAGAGCTCAGGCCCTCCCATTTCTCCACCCTGCAGTCTAGGTTTTGTCTGCCTTGTGTATTTCACTAAGCAAAAATCATCAGCATCATCATAAAATAAATAAATAAAAATCAACTTCTCAAATCCTTACCTTTAAAGAAAATGTGATTCACCAGCACCATGGCTGTCAGAAGGTCAAGGTCTTGGATTATGTCTACAACCTTCCCTTGGGTCTTCTTTTTCACGTGGCAGTTGATCTTCGCCTGGGCAATGGAGGGGTTGGAGAAATCTGTAGAAAAGACTTCTGCTTCATACAGCCTCTTGACATTGCCCAAGAAATTTTCCTGCAGCTGCAGCTCCTTCTTGACGAAGAGGGCACTTCCCATCTTCAAGGCCAGGTCTTTGCTTGGAACAGTCAGTGAATGAACCAAGTGCTGGAAGCCCCGGTGGATGGCAGACTCTGGTGTGTGTGTGAGGTTGAAGCCCAGGCCCTCGAGAATCTGGGTCTTGGTGACTGAGTGGGCCCCAAGGGAGAGCATGGCCAGGGAAGTGGAGACACTCATGGGGGAGAAGAAGACGTTCTGACTTGGGGTCTCCAAAACCAGCCTGCGGTAGAGGCGGAAGGCAAAGTCGGTGTTGAGGGAATACACCAGTGAGGCAGGGGTGCTCTTTGTGGAGGATGGGTGGGGGTATCCGCTGGGGGCATTGACCGGGGACACACAGTAGATTGGAGCACAGAGGCCAACAGTAAAGAGTACTCCATAAAGGGAAGATGCCATTTTGGAACCAAATACGTCTGCAAGAGAAGTAAGAACCATTGAGGGGGTAAACTGAGGGTCCAGGCCCTGAATCAGAGACACTTCAACACCCCACGCCATCAGCAGCAGAATGAAGACAAATAGGCCGGCTAGCTGAGCTCTCTCACGTTATCTCCTTTGAGCCTCGCAATAGTCCCATGATGTAGGTATTATCGTTACTGTTTTACTTGCAAATGAGTAAACAGGCCACAGAGAGTCTGCGTAACTTACCCCAAACCACACGGTTGACTTGTCTGTGTTCTGTGTGGGCTTCAAAGTCAGGTCCCAAATTCCAAATCCCATGCTTTTTTCTGCTTCATGGACTTATGTTTTAAGAATTGAGAGTGTGAGACCAGATTGCAAAGTCCCCCTCTTAGCAGCCAGCCAGAAGTGGTTTCTCACCCTTTGGAGGTCCCTCCACACATTCTTTATCCATTTTATGTAGATCTGATTATTTTCTCACCCTGGCTGCCTGTTCCCAGAAACCAACATTTACTAATGTGTTCATATCTCTCAAAAAGTGGAAACCTGGAGCAAAAGGCTGTCCTTTTTGCTGTGGTCCTCCAGGTGCCCTGAGCACTGGCGGTCAGTTGCTGATGAGCTGCAGCTCCAGCCACATCTGTCTGCTTCCCCTTCAAGCCTCAGCTGACAAGACTTTGGCACCAAGGAGACTTCAGACTAAATGACCTGAGAGCAATTTCAAACCCCAACAGGGCTGGGCTTGCATCCAACCCTGACATTCATGGTGGACAAGTAACCCCTCTGGTTCTGTTTCGCCTTTGTAAAACAGAGACAGTTACCTTACAGAGCTGTTCAGAGGACTGGGTGTGATAAGGCACATACATTGTGCAGCACAGGACCCAGCACATGGTGAGTGCTGGGTACATTACTTTTCCTGTTGTTTTGTTGAAGTCAGAGAGCATTTGATTTGGGCAACTCTATGAAGTAATGTTCGCAGGTCTCCGCAGCCCTGCCGACAGCACCCTCACCTGTTCAGTTTCATCAGAAAGATCTCATTCACTTTAACACACCTTTACAGAGGAGCTCCAACCCTGTGGGTTGACCCTGAGATACAACAGTAAATGGTCATTTTAGAGAAGGAAGGTGTATGATGAATCCAGCGCAAGACTAGGTGGGGTTTGTGCTCAGCCAGAGGGGAAAGCAAAGCAGGTGTGTGCTCCAATAGGTCACATCTGTCTGAAGCCTTTTCTCTCCTCACCAATTGTACAATTTCTCCTCCATGACCTGGATGTCCTTCCCCCCATCAGCCTTTTCACAAGCACAGTGCCTTCATAACCCCTCTTGCCCTTCATCAAACTTTGTTCTTTAGTCATTTATACTACGGTGTGAATGGCTGCCACCCACTCTTCTCCTAGGAGCACCGGCATGAAGTGTTACTCCCGATTGTGAAGGAAAGACTTTACCCACTGGAGCAAGAATTCAGTCAACAAGTGAACAATTATTTTGCCAGAAATGGAGAAGGAAAAGACAAGAGAACCTTTGCTGAAAGTGACAAAAAGACTGCCACACACAGTCACTTGTCTATGTCAGACCAAGCATAACGTGACAGCCACATTCCCAACAATTTCTCTGTGGAAATGAAATACGTAAATGAATCACATTTCATTATACCAGATATAATTTAACTTAGATGGAACTTTATAAAGAACCCTTTTACTGAATGAGTAATTCTTTTGCAAAACTGTTCATTTCTCTCCATTTCCACTTATGTGATTGGACGATTTCTCTTTTGTAGTTTTGTGTTTGCCTGTTTGACTAAGGTGGAGTTTTCTTTCTAAGTTATGCTCACATCCATCCATCCACCTACTGGACTCTTTGCCAACATGTTCTGAACTGACCTCCGGAGCTGCCCCTACCCTGAGTGCCCCATCTCTCCCTTTCTCCGAGAAGGCCATTTTACCCATGCTGTCATCTTCCAAGTCAGGAGACTGATGGTCACTCTGCCCTCTTCGGCCACCCTTCTTCCCCACACTGTTCTTCCTCCCCAAGACATTGCAAGCCCCAGCTTCTCTCCATCTCTTTGCTCTTCCCTTGGTCCTAACCCGCCTTATCTCCTCCCTCTGTACAATCCTGAAGGCTTCTGGACTCATCTCCCTCCTCTGGTCATGTTTCCTCAAAACGGTTTTCTTAAGAAACTTCACCAATCTGACTCTGCACAGAGACGATCTGCTGGGAGATGGAAGTGTTGAGGCTACAATCGGGGACAGATAGCCAGGGTCCTGGCTCTTAAAGGGCTCGCTGGGAACCCTGTGACACATGGCGTTAAGAGTTCACTGCTTCGCCTCTCTTCGGCCCCACTGCCAGCCAGTGTATTTATCTGCAGTCTCTGTAGTCAACACCAATAGCAAACAGCCCAGGGTCCACCTCCCTCCCTCCTCCTCTCACTCACCCAGCCCCTGCTCAGGCACAGCATACTCTCCTACAAATGCCCCTCCTGGACACCACCTTCCTTTGCTCACGGAAAAGCCCTTGTTTCTCACTCTGGAAGACTCTGCTTAGCTATTTCTGGCTTGAGAGGCCCTCTCTGGCCCCCCTTTCCTGTTGTGACTTCATCACTCCCTCCCTTCTCTCTTCTGCCACTTCTGAAATTTACTCGACTTCTATTACCAAGTGGATTACCACTGACCACACTCATGCCTTTAGATAATCTCTAGGATCTTTGAATATGTAATTCATGCATTTGGTCCACTGGGTTGAACATGTACACTTATTATGCAGGTGCTGTAGCAAGTGTTGGGGCTACAATGAGGGACAGAGAGACAGGCCCTGGTCCTTAAGGAGCCCACTGGGAAGACGGGCAATCAGCAAACACCACTAGGCACAAGAAGTGTGTGTGGGATGAGTAAGTACAGGCATTGGGCGCACCTATTCCATAATGAGAAAGGCTTCCAGAGGAAGTGGCAGCTGATGGAGACTTGAAAAATGTTAGCAAGGTAAAGGGGAAAAGCAGAGAAGAGAGAGATTCAGGCTAGGAGGACCACCTGTGCAAGGGCCCAGAGGGAACCCAGAGCCAGGCAGCTTTGAGAAACAGAAAAGGTTCTGTGACACAGATCTCAGCACCAGAGAAGCTGGCAGGAAGGGCTGGGGAGTGGGAGAGACGGGCTGCAGAGAGAGGGGGCCCCATGCAGGGATGTGCTTGGTCTGGGCCCTGGAACCCACTGGGGGATGGCTGCAGAGAACCTCAGCAGCAGAGAATTCTCAAGACTATCCTGGCACCTGTCTGTGTTCCTCACTGCTCTACACACCTGCTTCCTGTTCTCCTTCCCGCTTCCCCTGCCAGCACGGAAAAGTGCCCAATGTAAGGGCTCAGTAGACACTTGGTGCACTGCCCTGAGATGGAGAAGCATTTACACCAGCCTCAGAACTGGAGTGGTGGCCGGGCGCGGTGGCTCAGGCCTATAATCCCAGCACTTTCGAGGCGGGCAGATCACCTGAGGTCAGGAGTTCAAGAGCAGCCTGGCCAACATGGCAAAACCCCATCTCTACTAAAAATGCAAAAGTTAGCCAGGCATGGTGGTGGGCACCTGTAGTCTCAGCTACTCAGGAGGCTGAAGCAGGAGAATCATCTGAACCTGGGAGGCGGAGGTTGCAGTGAGTCGAGATCAGGCCACTGTGCAGTCTGGGCAACAAGAGTGAAACTTCGTCTCAAAAAAAAAAAAAAAAAAGACCAGGGTGGTGAAACGAAGGAGGCCTAGAATATGGGACTGAAACCCCAAGTTTCTCGTATTTGATGAGCTCTGTGACAGACTGGGGCTCTTCAGGAAGCCGTGTAAGAGTGTGGCATCTGCAGGCTTCCCTGCGACAAGCTGGGGTCTACTGTGTTTACTTGGGGTCTGCAGGCCCTCTAGCCTCAATGATGAAGTGGCAGCACTTGATCTTGACGGCCACTCAGAAGTCAGAGCCTAAGCAAGATCATAGCTCCCCTCCTAACCTCAGAGCAGTACTTTCTGTTTAGAGAACAGCATTGTCTTTGCATTGCTGCACCTTCTGAATTGCGTCGACCCCTATCTGTAAGGAGGGCAGCTCTGAGGAAGGGCGAGATAACGTCTGCAGAATGCCCAGCGCGGCGTTCAGCCCATGGTGGGCAGGAGACCAAAGCTGCATCTCTTTTGTGGCTCCTATGATTTTATGTTCCTCCCTTGGAACCAGGATGAAGGAATAGGAGTGTCCCTGGCTATTCGTGACCATGGGAAAGAGGACCAGGTTGAAGGAAGAGGACATCCGCCACATGGAGGGGAGGTGCTGCCAGGTGCCAGGATGCCACAAGCACCAGGGGTCTGTGCCCCTTTCTGTGGAGGCTGGGGGTGGGGCAGGTGGCTTTCAGGGGGCCCCCACTGACACTGGGTTGTGCCCCCCAAAGAATTCCCCATCCCCATCAGCAGAGATGGCCTATTAGACATGGCCTCCATGCCTCAAGTCTTGTTTCTTTTGGGCTTGAGTAGGGGAGACCCACTCGAAGTCGGTGAGTTGGCTAGTAAGTGTCCTGACTCATCAATGGTACTGGCCTCCATGTGACTTCAGGTAAGTCTCTGCTTTTCACAAGACTTCAGGAAGAGGTGATCTCAAAAGGTCCCTCCCTCTCTTCTGAGTCTGGGATCTATGTCTGAGGGCCCCCAGGTCATTGCTCTCTTGGGGGAAAACTGTGGCCAAAGCTCATTCAGTCAGCTCTTAAAATCCACCGCACTCCCCACTTTGCTTCTCCCCACTCTGAACTGAACTCCTGTCCTCCTGTGGCCGTCCCTTCTCTCTCCCAACCCTGCCAAGGCCCTTGCCCCTCTTTTGGCTGTGGCCTGGGTTTATGTGAGCATTTGAGCAGTGGACTCTGCTCTTTGGGGTGACAGGGACACTCGCTGTCCCCATGGCTTGCCTCTTCTGGGCCTCTCCCTCCCAGTTACCACAGCCTGCATTCCACCTTCCATTGTCTCTCACCCACTCCCATCTCCAAGCACTCCACCCTGCAGACAGGGTGACCTTTCCAGATGCTGATCTGGTGTATCATTCACCTCACCCTGAATTCCTCAGTGGCTCCCCATTGAGCTCAGGAAAAATGCTCAAGGCCCTGGCATTCAAGAGCCTTATTTATTGGGCCCTGACTTACCACCCCAGCTTCACCTTTGAGGACCCACCTGTTTGTATTCCTCAATTTCTCCCCATCCCTTATCTTCATTTGCCTCTTTATCCAGCTTGGGTGTCAAGGGCTTTATTTTAATCTAATGTGCTTCACCCCTAGGCCTTTGTCTTCATGTCCCAGCCCAGTGACAAGGCTCCATGTGTAGTAGAACCTACCTGTCTGCTCCTTCCCTGCCAAATGCTGCTGGAAGAGAGGTTCTGCAAGGCAGCCTTGTCCACTGCGGGTTCCCAACCACCAACCTTTATCCACCTGGCAACAGGTAACTCATCAGCTCACTCTCCCATTTTCAGGGGAAACCTTCACCTTTTCCATGTCCTTAACCTTTTTATTCCAGGGTGGAGTGGATGCCCACCCTGCTACATATGCATGTGTGCCCACATGTGCACACACACACACACACACACTCAGCAGACAGCCTTGCCTCCTATGTCACATAAAAGAGAGATCCTATGAAAAGGAATTGTCTCAGCTTCCCTCAAAGGGCATCCTCTCTGCCTATCCCTACTTGCCCAGTCACCCCTCTCTCTCCCCTACACTTCCACTCTACCAACAAAGCAGAGGATCTGCCCTCCTTTGATGTCCAGACCCCCTTCCTGGGCCTTGGAAAGTATCTCTTCTCTCCATCTCAGGACCCTTCCACCTCTCTTTTCTGTACTTAAACACTCTGTGTCACCCTGATCCTTACTGTTAGCTTGGAAACTGTTCAAGTCTTGCTTGTTAAGACAAAGAAAGCAACAACAACACAACAACGAAAACACTCCTTTCACCCTCTCACTTGCTTCTAACTGCTGCCCTATTTCCAAGGGAGGCCACTGCTCCTCCCCTTGTGGCCCAAATTTTCAAGAGCTGTGTATTCATGGCCTCTGTGGCCTTACCTCCTACTCACTCACTGGTCCACTCCAGCCTGGCTTCTGTATTCACAAAAATGTGACCCAGATGCTACTGAAAGCCAAATAGCATATCTAGGTTCTCATCTTCCTTGACTTCCCAGCTGCATTTGACACGGAAGACCTTGCTCTGATCCAGTCCTTCCCTCTGGCTCAGTGACAACACATTCCCAATCTCTCTGCACCTCCTCCTTACCCACCTTTGCGGGTTCCTCTTCTCCTGCCCTGTCCTTGCACGGTTGGCGAGCCCTGGCACTCGCTTTCTTGGTTGTAGCTCTCTCCTCACTTTAATCTCTCCTCTCCCTCCAGTTGATCTCATGCCACGACACCCACGACTTCATTACTAAGACATGCAAATGATACATTATCTTTATTCTCCAGCTAGACATGCAAATGATACATTATTTTTATTCTCCAGTTCAGTCCTTTCCTTTGATCTCTATATGTCTAACCGCCTACTTGATATCTCCTCCTGATGTTGCAAATAAACCTTCCATGCAACATGAACCACAATGAACTCAGACTCCTCCCCAAGAACCATCTCCCAGCAACAGCCACAACCGAAACCCCTTTTCAACATTTCTGTCACTGGGTCCACCATTCACCTAGTTAGTTGAACCTCGGAGGCATCCTTGCACTTCCTTCTTGTTCATGTCAATTTATCCCCAGTTTTGTCAACTTTACCTCCTAAATGTTGCACAACTCCATCCACTTTTTTCTGCCTTCACTCTAGCAGGCTATTTGTGCTGTCATTGTGTCTTGCCTGGGTTACCACAAAGCTTCCTAACAGCTCTCTCCGCATACCCTGTCCTGCTCCTCCAATTCACTCTGCACGTGACAGGTAGAATAGTCTTTTAAAACTCAAACCTGACTGTGTCACTTACTATTTAAAATGTCTCAATAGCCTCCCGTTTCCCAAAGTGAACACTGAAGTCTTAACTTGCACAGCCTGGGCTCTGCTGGCCCCTCCAACTTCATCGCAGATCATGAAGCCCCTTGCCCTTGACATCCGTGTCAGCCCATTCTGCCCATTAATTTTTATGCTCACATGTGATATTTCTTGTTTCCTACTTCTGGAATATCCTTCCAACTCTCTTCATCTGACTTTTCCCCTAATTAACTTTTATTCATTATTTAGGCCCTAGTTCATATCATTCCCTCAAGGAAACTCTCTTTGATCACTCAAATACGAAAAATTTCTTCTAGCAACTATTTTTATAGTACCATTAACTTCTCAGTGAAACACTTATCACTGTCATAGTTTCACATTTATTTGTGTGACTGAACAATTCATGAATCAGGGATCTTGTCTACCTTGATTTTGTCTATTTGTATACCCACTCTTTGGCCAATACTCATGGTCTAGTACGTGGTTGTGAAAAGAATAAATGAATTGAAATAAAATGAAATAATCTGTTTACCTCTGAAGAGTAATCCCGACTGGTAATAAGCAAGGGTAATAAGCAAGGTAATAAGCAAGAGTAATCCTGACTGGTAAGACAGCAAACTGAAGACAGGGGAACTCAGGATGATGAAAAGTCCTGTAGCTACTTAAGGTAAAGTTACACAGGTATATATCTAAAGTTTGAGTTGACTTACACTTTTGGCTAAAACAAAGTAACTGATATTGGTTGCAAACAGTTGTAAACAGATAGAAAACTGGACAAAATTTATGACACTGTTGAGATACTCGAAAAATATATAAAACAATTCAGACATTAGAGAACAGGCAGGGGAGGTAAAAAATGAGATAAGCTGTATAATTGTCCCAATTTTCTGCCTAAGAACACTTTCTGGACATGTGGAAGAAAACCCAAAGAGGGCATGGGAGGCTTGCTGAGCTTAGGAGACAGACATTAGAGTTTGAGAAAACTGAGGAAGCTACAATTTGTGCAGTGAAGGACTAGAGGAGAGCTTTAGAAACGTGCACAGGGGTCTCTTTAAGTCCAAAGCTAAGTACTAAGCTCTGCATGCGTAAAGTGAAATTCCACATGGCTGGTCAACATGCACACACACACACACACACACAGACATGCAAACACACACACACACACAGAAGAAAAAATAATAAACCTACTGTGAAGGTATAAACAAAATAATTTCCAGAGTTCACAAAGCATGAGGATATATTAAGGTTATGACCACCCAAAGTGGAGAGACCTGTGCATTCAGTAGAGACCCAGAAGTGTCACATCTTGGCATTAGGGCTAAACTAACTTTGAATTAAAGCTGCGCTAGACCTACCCTAACAAAGCTTAAAAACATGCCTTGACAAGCTCAAGCAGATCTGTAAGTAACTTATTGTCTGTTAAAACAAATTTCAAACACTGTAAAGGAAGACAACAAAATTGTAATGTTATGATGTCCAGCATCCAATCAAAAATTGCTAGACATTCTAGGACTAGGAAAATGTAACCCATGACCAGAAGAAAAATTAAGCAATAGAAACAGGCTCAGACATAATAGAGATTAAGGAATTTGCAGACAAGGACTTTAAAACAGCTACTTAAAATATGCTTAAATAATAAAAATTTTACTGTAATGTGAGAAAAATCAAACTTCTAGAGATGAAAAACTTAATATCTGAAATGAAAAATGCACTGGCTGGGTTTAACAGCAAATTTAGTACTATGGAAGAAAAGATCTGTGATCTTGAAAATATATCAGTAGGAACTATTCAAATTGAAGACAGCAAGCTGGAAAATAATAATAATAATAAAAAACGAGTCCCAGTGACTTGTGGGACAACATCAATGGACTAACATATGTGTAACTGGAGTTCTGGGCAAAAAAAAAGTGAGGGACAGTGGAGAACAGAAAATTTTGAAGAAATAGTGGGCAGAAATATTTGTGATATTTGTGTACTTTATGTGAACTATACCTAAATAAAAATCAAAATACAATAAATTGAAATGAATGCCACCCTGCTGTTTCATCCCCTACTCTCTATGATTACACATATATCTCAGTTGGCTTGAACTACCCATCTCACTCTCTTTGCCTGAAACACTCCTTTCCATCCTGCCAGCTCCAGCTCAAAATCACCCACTGCACAAAGTCTTCTCTAGATGCCACAGAAAGTCTGCCCCTCCCTTTACAAACACCTGGAGCAAACCAGGGCAGTTTACCTTCCTATATGTCAGTCTCCCTGATTAGACAGTCTGGACTTTGTGTGGCATCCTCCAGGGTTGGGACTATGATCGGTAAGTAATACGGAGAGAGGTAGCAGATTACATGGGAAGGAGCAAGTGGGAGGGATGTTGGGAACCCTGAGGGCCAGGCACTATTGGCTCACCCACACCCAGGGACTTTTGTAAAGACTCATAGTTGGTAAAACACAGAGAGGCAACCTGAAGAAGTATGGAACTTACCAAGCTTAATTGGGCTCTCATTAAAATGCAAATTCCCAGGTCCCATGCAGAACTACCTAATCAGATTTTCCAGGGAAAGACGAGAAGACTTGAGAGTGCAGAGGGCTGGATGCTTCCTCTTCCCACCCCTCACTCCACCCTCGGTCCTTGCCCCAGAGAGAAGCTCTTCAGGGTTTCCTCTAGCTCTGAGGTCCTCAGTTTCTGGGGCCTCAGGGCCTCCTTGAAAGTAAAGACCCATTTCTCCCCAAATTCATAAAACCAAGCCTGCTGGAGTAGCAACCAGCCAGGAGTAGATCTCCATGGGTCCATCAAGATGGAACTTTGTCCCAAGTCCATACTCCTTCATGGAGCGTCTCCTGCTATGTCCAGGCCTTTCTGGGATCCTCTTAGGACCCTGGCTACAGGATCTCTTGCCTGCCTCACACATTCTTATGCTTCTGCTCCATTTTTGGTTTGTTGGAGATATTCATACTATTTTAAAAATCTGACTACATCTTTATACTTTTCTATTTCAGTACTTGTTTAAATATTTCACTCAATATTTCTCCTAACAGTGGAGCAGATAGGGTGCCTCAAGGCTACTCTTGGAGTGCCATCTTAGCTAGAGGGTACCCTTTGGATTGTCAAGAAGCCTCCCCAGCTGAGATCCACAGTCCCCACCATGGATCTGTCTCAGGAAGTGCAGGTCCCTGCCACCCTTTCTGCTGCAACTTTGTTCATTTCCTAGCCTGCCCAGTGTGATCCCCTGACTTTTAGGAATCTGAACCAAACTGAGGGTGGAGATGGGGAAGGGAGATAGATCCATATGTGACGTGTATCCTGGATTGGATGCTGGAACAGAAAAAAAAAAAAGTATTCATTTAAAAAGATGATGAAATTCAAATAAATTCTGTAGTTTGGTGAATAGTAAGCTACCAACATTCGTTCCTTAGTTGTGACCGACGTCTCACAGTCATGGAAGATGTTAGCATTAGGTAAAGCTGTCGAAGGTGCGTGGAAACTCAGTGAACTCTCTTCATATCTTTTCTGTGAAGCTAAAATTATTCCAAAATTTAAAAAGAAGAAAGAAAAGCCAATCAGTCAAGGACATAATCAGGAAAACCTTCCAACCTTGGCCAAGGTCTCCAGGGATCAGGGAGATGACTGCTCTGTTCACAAGGTAAGCAATCTCAGGTGGTTTCTGCTCACGATGTGGAATCACTCAGTGGCAAAGTCCTCCCTCTTTCAGTTCTCTTTTGATCATTCTGAGTTCCCCCTGGAGTGAGTCTCGGCTTGATGCCAGCCCATCTTTACCACCATCTTAGACTTGCTGACTTTCCTTTCTAACAAGGGGGAGCAAACCATAGGCTGGGAGCCTATGATCTGTGACAATCTTGGTAGAATTTAATCACCGAATTAGTTTTGTTGTGTGTGGCAAGTTGTGCTAGTTTCTATGTATGACTGCAATATTAATTTTTCTATTTAAACAAACTTTCTTTTCCTAACATGAATTGATTTAAGGATAAGTCTTGAGCAAATAATGTATAAAAGAGAGGGGAATTCCGTCCTAATCATGAACATGGTTTGGGAGTAAATAAAATTTGAGAAACTGAGCACTAATGGAGAGCTGGTTTCCCAACGAGAAAGGTCACCTTGGCTTTGCACCCTTGTGGGAACACCTGAGCACCGACATGCTGACTCAGTGGGGCAGGGAACGTGCTACTGGCTGGTTCTGAAGGGGACACTAGGAAATGGGGAGGAAGCAGGCCATGTGACCTCAGCTCTGCTTGAACAGGGTCCCTGTCCCTCCTGTCGATCCTGGCTTCTCCCTCCCTGGAACACAGCCTGGCACATAGTAGATTCCCAGTAAGTATTTACTGACTAAACAAATGCATGGGAGAATCACTATACATAAGACTTTGGAGCCAGTTCTAGCATTTCCAATATGAACATCAAAGTATTGCCCAAAATAGGCCGGGCGCGGTGGCTCAAGCCTGTAATCCCAGCACTTTGGGAGGCCGAGACGGGCGGATCACGAGGTCAGCAGATCGAGACCATCCTGGCTAACCTGGTGAAACCCCGTCTCTACTAAAAAATACAAAAAACTAGCCGGCAAGGTGGCGGGCGCCTGTAGTCCCAGCTACTCGGGAGGCTGAGGCAGGAGAATGGCGTAAACCCAGGAGGCGGAGCTTGTAGTGAGCTGAGATCCGGCCACTGCACTCCAGCCTGGGTGACAGAGCGAGACTCCGTCTCAAAAAAAAAAAAAAAAAAAAAAAGTATTGCCCAAAATAGACAAGTCTTCTGGGGGCATCCAGGGCAACCTCATCATTGCACGAATGGGCAGTGGAAGCCCAAGAGGAAGAAGGTGTTTGCTCCAGCCACAGTCAGTGTCTGGGAGAAGCAGGGCCAGGAACTAGGACTTCCCATCTGTGATCATCCTTGCCAACACACCAGTCTGTCACTTCTGTCATGCACCCACATGAATGACCTCAGTCCAGGCAGGCAATGCTGCAGGCAGGGTGGGGGAAGACAGCAAACCAGACTCCTGGCACCCAGCCTATGCTGGAAGAGGCAAAAAAGCCCCTGCTCGCAGGCTGCACAGTGGCTTTCTGTGTCGTGTAGCTCAAGCTGGACCACACCAAGGCAGCCTCTCTATCCTGGTCCTCTGACGCTGGGCACCCTCATTCTTGGTCAGGGTGAATCCCTCTTTTATGCATCAAGTCCACCTTTGCTGTAGGGAAAAGAAAGAGAGATCAGACTGTTACTGTGTCTATGTAGAAAGGGAAGACGTAAGAAACTCCATTTTGACCTGTACCCTGAACCATTGCTTTGCCCTGAGACGCAGCTAATCTGTAACTCTGCCCCAACCTTGAGCTCACAAAAACATGTGTTGTATGGAATCAAGGTTTAAGGGATCTAGGGCTGTGCAGGATGTGCCTCGTTAACAAAATGTTTACAGGCAGTATGCTTGGTAAAAGTCATCGCCATTCTCCAGTCTTGATAAACCAGGGGCACAATGCCCTGAGGAAATCTGCAGAGACCTCTGCCCTGGAAAGCCGGGTATTGTCCAAGGTTTCTCCCCATGTGATAGTCTGAAATATGGCCTCGTGGGATGGGAAAGACCTGAGCGTTCCCCAGCCCAACACCCGTGAAGGGTCTGTGCTGAGGAGGATTAGTAAAAGAGGAAAGCCTCTTGCAGTTGAGATAGAGGAAGGCCAGTCTCCTGCCTGCCCCTGGGAACTGAATGTCTCGGTATAAAATCCGTGTACATTTGTTCAACTCTGAGATAGGAGAAAAACTGCTCTGCGGTGGGAGGCGAGACATGGTGGCAGCAATGCTGCTCTGTTAGTCATTACTCCACTGAGATGTTTGGGTGAGAGAAGCATAAATCTGGCCTACGTGCACATCCAGGCAGAGTACCTTCCTTGAACTTATTTGTGACACAGACTCCTTTGTTCACATGTTTTCTTGCTGACCTTCTCCCCACTATCACCCTCCTCTCCCACCACATTCCTCTTGCTGAGATCGTGAAAATGGTAATCAATAAATACTGAGGGAACTCAGAGACCGGTGCCAGTGCAGGTCCTTCGTATACTGAGTGCCAGTCCCCTGGGCCCACTTTTCTTTCTCTATACTTTATCTCTGTGTTTTATTTTTTTTCTCAGTCTCTCGTCCCACCTGATGAGAAAAGCCCACAGGTGTGGAGGGGCTGGTCCCCTTCATTTGCATGGGCATTTCCCAGGCTAAAGGCTCCAGAGGACTGCGCAGCAGAGGTTTTGGAGAGGAGAACCATAAAATCCACTGTCTCAGCCTCCTGGGGAGGCTGGATGTGACCCCTGCCAGGGCCACTGGCACCTCTAGTCACCCTTACCCACTCCACTTAATGTCTTCTCCTCTCCTTTCCTCTCCTCTCCTCTCCTGTCCTCTCCTCTCCTCTCTTTTCCTTTTTAACGGAGTCTTGTTCTGGGGTGCAGTGCTGCCATCTCGGCTCACTACAACCTCAGCCTCCCAAGTTCAAGTGATTCTCCTGCCTCGGCCTCCCAAGTAGCTGGGATTATAGGTGCATGCCACCATGCCTGGCTAATTTTTGTATTTTTAGTAAAGACGGAGTTTCCCCATATTGGCCAGGTTTGTATGTCCTTGTTTCTTGATCACACCTATTGTTAATTGCCTGCCTGTCCCGAGTAACCTGAGACCTCTGCAAGGGCAAGGATCTTTCTATATTTTATTCACAAGCCCCTAAAAGCCCCTCTCTGTCCCCACACAGAGAGGACACTCAGTGAATATTTGTTGAATGGATGGATGGATGAACTGATGGGACAAATAAAAGCCACAAGTGCTTTGTATTTGTATTTGTATTTGCTCCTATCTCTGTGGCTGTCTCGCTGTGGGACCTTGTGCAAGTGATGTGATCTTCCTGAGCCTCAGTTTTCTCATCAGTAAAATGGGACGGTCACACCAACTGGAAGGCTTGTGGGCCAGTGAGATGGAGAAAGCACTCATGTCGTGCCAGGTTTTGATAGGCATCTAGGAAGTGCTGGTTATGTCAAAATCAAAATCCACTCATTCATTCACTCATTTATTCACAAGGTCGGTCGGCCCACAAATACGTGACCTGAGAAGGCTTCTGAGAAGGAGTAGTGGTTGACCTTCCCTGAAAGACTGAGTAACACGCTGGAGGGAAGTGGTGGGAGTGGGAGAGGATGAGGAGCAAGGAGAGCATCCAGGAAAGTTGGAAGATGTAGGGAGATGGCACACGGACCTACAAGAAGGAGCAGGCATGGCCACATCCCAGTCACTGCCAGGCTAAGGCATGTGACTCCCCTCCCAGAGGAGAGGGGAGCTTTGGAGGGGGCTGACTGTGTGTGGACACGGGTGATTGGCAGGGCAGTTTTTCTTTCCAGCAAGTACGTGTTGGGTGTGTGCTCTGTGGCATGTACCGGCCTGGGCATGGGGGATACAAGGACACCTAGTCTGCAGGCAGAGGGACACACAACACATGGACTTGCCTGAGTCTCTCTCAAACTGCACACCTGCTGCAGCCCACCATAGTTCTTCAATTAAAGACCAGCATCCCTCTGTGGCCCACGATTTCTCACCTACCTCTCGGCCCCGCTCCCACCCCTTCTTGCTTACTCATCTCATTTCAGCACCTCACCCATGCCACTCCTGACCTCAGGGCCTTTGCACACGCTGTTCCCGCTGCTTGGTGGGGTCTCCCTGGGCTCCCACCCTCATTTCTTCCTCTTTTTTTATTTTTCAAAATAAAATTTATTTTTACAGTGAATAATACAAATGTGGCTATGAAAGCAGAACATATTTAAAAATATTTAAGGTATGCAACTGTCATTTTAAAAACAGAATTAGTTAAAAGGAAGATGAATAAAGAACTCGAGCTTACGCCTGATTTCTATTGGTTTACTTAGAAATACCAATCAGTATCTAACATATTATTAACTATGCTGGAAAAAACACTTCTATATGCAGTTTTAATTCCTAACTACAGTTTAAAAACAGATGAGTTCCCAGCATTTGGAGCTCTCCCTAAATGTTACATCCCGAGGAAGCCTTTCTTGGGCCACCGGACTGGACGTGACCCTTCTGTGACACGTGACCCCCGGACTGGATGTGATCCTTGGGTGACACGTGACCGTCCGACTGGATGTAATCCTTCTGTGACATCCTTTGCAAGCTCTGCAACATCTCCTTCACTGTGCCCACTGCAGCTCATGACAAATGTGTGTTTATTGTATTCATGATGGCTTCCCTCACTGATTATTAGCCCCAGGAAGGCAGGAACCGGTCTACATATATCAACAATGAGCTCAGAGATTGCAGCCCGGAAGTCATCATTTAATGGAGGATTGACTGCAGCCCATGGGGGCTGGAGGAAACATTCAGACCCACTTGCCATCGTCATGCATGGAGGTGAGGGTTTTGGAAGGCTGCTTGGAAGAGGCTGCTTGGAAGATGTTGGAAAGGTAGAGAAGAGTTCACAAAGAGGTCCTAATGGTCTGGGTATTAAAGGGTGAGTAGGAGTTTGTTAGGCTGGAGGAGGGAATTCCCATTAGAGGAGACGGCGGAAGCAAATGCCTGGGGCAGAGTTTTGGGAAACAGCTGGTCATCGCAGACACTGGAGGGGGGCTGGTGGAGGACCGCAGCAGGGGCTCTCTACTGCAAACCCACGTGCCAGGCACGATGGCCATGCAACCTCATGTGATCCTCAGAGGTAGGTAGGTAGATAGAGGGTATTAGACTCCAGCTTAGCCGCTGAGGTAGATATTATGATCCTCTCTCAATAAATGAAGCAGCTAAGGCTCAGAAAGGTTTAGTGACATGCCCAGGTCACCCGGCCACTCAGTGGCTTGCCTGGCTGTGTCACGTCCCCAGTGTCATATGTTGTGCACCTGACACCGTAGCTGAGGGTTTCTGGGTCTTTCCATACCCACCCTTCAGGCTGGGGCAAGGGAAATTATATCGGCAAAGGGCTCGGCTGAGATTCCCAGCCTTTTCCCCAGGTCTGTGTCCCTGTGCGGGGTCTCAACCTTCTCCCTCACCCCCACCCTCTGGAAAAGGGGCTGCGCACTCTGGGCTCCGGGGCTCAGCCTTCACCACCGTCCACCAGCCCCGGCCCCCCACCAGGCAGCCTTCTCCACCAGCCTCTGGGGACTCCTCCCTTCCTGCCCCAAACCAGAAGATGGGGCGCTTGCTGCATGTGGCTAACCCTGAGGCCACGAGGAAGCCACTTCACTTCTCTGAGCCTCAGTTTCCACGTCTGTCATAGGGACGCCCACTCTGGCTGCTCTGAGAGCACTTGTGACCAGAACACAAAGGACACTTTGAGCTGCAAACTGCTAAACAGGCCCGGGAAATGATAAGTAGTAACAGCCGAGGCTTCTCAGTGCCAAGCCAGCAAGTGTCCTCTCCTCTCCAAACACCGGAAGCCCTGGGAATTCCCTGCAGGAGAAGAAGGAACCAGATGCCTGAAATGAGCTTGACCCAGGCCGGGGACCTGTGCACGGCCCTGCGAGCACCTGGTGCCCTCTAGTGGCCACAGGCGGCCCTGCAGGGCCGCATTTTCTGGAGCCACACACTCTTCAATTGAACTTGCTAACAGGTTTAAACCGCAGGATCTACCTTTGACAACAAGATAAGGAAGGGACAGGGGAGGGAGGGTGCCAGGACGTTCTTTTTGTGCCTGAAATGGATAAAGCTGGCTGCAAATTCTAGCTGCTACTCTAGACTTCGTCCTTTTAATGTTGCCCGAGGGGCTGGACTGGCCCTGTCCCTGTTTCCCCATCCACCTGAATGCTGGCTAAGCCCAGAGCTCCCACGTGGACACACTGGGACAGATAATTGGCCGAGGGCTCACAGAGGCGGGAACAACTTTTTTAAAGCACTGAACTAGCTTCCTCAGAGCCCCAAAGGGAGTGGCAGGACCTTCACTTCAGAAATAAGACAGGCCCAGAGAGGGTCTGTGGCTTTCCCAAAGACACCTCATTCTAGGATTTGAACCCAGTCTCTCCCTCCAGTCTCCAGGTACTTGCGGTGGCCCATACCTTCCCCAAATTATCCACCAATAGCCAGTTAACCTGGGGCAGGACTGTGGGGAGAAACGTTTGTTTATTAAATCACAGAGTCCCTCTGCCTGCTGGAGGGGAGAGGAGAATGCCACCGAGTGGGTGGGGCATCGAATCCCAGCATTTGAATGGGCAGGGAGGGAACGGGGCACAGGACTTTCTAGAACTTGCAATTTTGCTCTTTCGGGCAGTCTAGGAAGATGGTGACGGGGAGGGGCTAAGCTGAACCGTGCCTGTCACTTCCATCTCAGGAAGACGGAACATGTTCAACCCCAAGCCATGTTCGGGGTCTGCGGCAAGCAGGAATTCTCCTTTATTTTCCAATAGGGTTAACAATCTTTCCCAGGAAGAGCACGGAAGGTATTTTCTGGCTGTAAATCAGCAGCAGATAGGGTCTGTCTATCTTGACGACGAGTGGTGTCTCCATGGGCAGAGTCTGTGCTCCGGTGCCAGCGGCCCCCTCCGTACCCCTCTCATCCATCTTCAGCTCAGCCTTGTGCACAGCCTGTGGAAGCCAAGGGCAAAGTCAGGGACTGCCAAGCTGCTCAGCGACCATGGTGGCCGGAGGCCCAGAGAGGATCAGAGAGGGAGACAACTTGGTCCAAGCTGTCCAGCACAGCAGTAACTTGGTTTACTCCAGGGTTTCTGGCTCTGTTGCCATTAATGCTGGAGAATATTCGACAAGCAGATGCCGCGTGAAGGAAAAGATGGTGCAGGGAGAGCATCAGTTCCGGGGGTCGATGTGGGGAGAGATGGAGTGGGATTTGCTTCTCTTTCTCATGGGTTACAGGGAAGCATCAACCACAGCCATGGCAGAAAAGGTCTACTGGGCTGTAGCTGGGTGAAAGTGAGGGGGTGGTATCCCCACCCTGAAGCCTCCAGCACCTCCTTTCATCCACCTGGTGGATGGTTAAGAGGGAGGAAGATTCTGGATTAGCTCTGAGATGACTTGCATCCCAAATCCACTCCAAAGGCATCAACATCTGTAAACAGGTGATCTGTAAAAAGCTGATGGGTATGTGTGAAATCCTTGCACATTTCTTTCTAGTCTGCAAAATTCTCACAATTTCCCTTGCAGAAAACAGGACAGTATCCTGTGTTAGAATCACAGCTATCAGCAAACGTAACTACAGAACGAAACGAGCCATTAAACTCAACAAGACCTTCAGAGCTGGTGTTGAATGTTTGTGGGAAGTCTGTGGCAGGAAAGCTCAAAAGTGAGAAAATTCTAGTAACTGTGTTCCTTATGTCAACGTGAAAAATACAGTGGAATCTGTGCCATCTGATTCAGAGCAGCAGGCTCAGCTTGGCAAGCTGGATCCTTCCCAGACTGGCTTGAACCTCCCACCTCATCTCCATTAAGCACCTAATCCCCACCACCCACTACTCCATGATATCCAAAAACCCCCAGCCTTGGCCACACTGCTGCACCCATTCCCGCACCCATCTCTGCTCGTTGAAATCTTTCCCCTCCTTCAATGCCTTTTTAACCCCAAAGTAGGGTTGCCAGGTGAAATACAGGACATCCAGTGAAATTTGAATTCAAGATAAACAATGAATATATTTTAGTGTAAGTATGTCCCGTGCAATATTCAGAACATACTGGCACTAAAAAAATTATTCATCATTTATCTAAAATTCAATTTTTTTTTTTTTTTT